AAAAAAAAAAAAAAAAAAAACAGGAGTCAGGATTTTTGGGATAGCAGTATGGCTTTCACAGCCTCTGGAAGGATCCAGGTCATGTGCGACCTGGTATGGTCTCTTGGCCTGTTGCCACCACACCAGTTTTTGCCCTTAGTTTTAGCCTTGGCTCTGGGTTTATTTAGTATATTAGTGATTGCTTTATTGGTCTTTGGGTTTTTCTAGCTTCACCACAGATCCTAGGAAAAAAACCATACTCTAGAAATGAGAAGCCAGGATTTTTAAAGTAGGGCTGGGAATATGAGTAGACATCTTTTGGATTTTCAAAATGTGTTTGCTTAAACCACCTTTTGACAGCAGTTAGACATTTCTGCTATCAACCTGAGTGGCAGATGGCCTACAGCATTTGGTATGTTAAAAGAGTATAGAGTAAGTGAGTCATGGCTTCTGAAATACATCAATTTGACGTTGCAGTCCTGAAAAAGGCAATAGCTGACATATCCTGAACCAGCTTTGGATTTCCAGTGCACTCAATGCTGAAATAATTGCTGTAAAGGGTTGAGTTGAATTCAGAGTGACTAGGAGAGTATAGATACTGAACGTTCAATCTTTGAAATGACAGAAATAGCTGATGTTGAATATTGTCTAGCACTGAGCATTTCCATGTGCCAAGCATGTTAACATGGATTATTTTCTTGAGTCTTCTCAACTCTGTTGAGAAGGGCAGAGGAGATTCTGCTATTCAGGCATTCTGACCGCAGAGTTCCTGATTTTCAGGAAGCATTAGGTTTCACTTGCCTTTGCTGAAATTCTTATTAATGGTGTTTAAAGTGTGGGCAAGAGTGTACACAGCTTTAAGGTTTAGATGTGTGGCTCAGCCGTATTCAGGAAGCTAGGTGTGTCATGGGCTCTTTGGGGAGTGTGGTGAGGAAGGCTTGCATACTGGGCCTTTAGAGTGTTGGCCAAGTCAAGTAACCTGGTTACAGCATTCTCAGTTCATGGAATGACCTTTGTGTCTCAAGGGCATTCATTTGAGAGTTTGAAGGGGAGTTAGGTGAGGTTCAGCTTAACCATCACAGCCTAACAATTACTCTTGAAGATAAAGGAATTTTCACAGTGGACCCAGATTAACAAATACACTAGAGGAAAACCAGAAGGTATATATGAAGTGGAACACCCATCCCCAACTTTTAAAAGTTCATCAAAGTGACATAATTCCTCCATATTTCATCTGAATGCCTGACTGAATTGTGGGTTTTCTTGTAGTTGAGGAATGACATAAGTTTTTTAGACTCTTTTATAAACTTCTGGGATTTTGTACAAAATTGCTGGAAACTAGTCAGCTCTTTAGGCTGACAGTTGTAGTAATGAATGAAATGTCTTCCCTAGCAAGTAGACTCAGATGGAGAAAAAAAAAAAAGAAGTGTCATGCTAGCCTGTCATCACCTATCTTCCCCTCCTTCTGAAGACCCTTAGCTTGTAATCTGAGAGCAGCCAGAAGCCAAGACCAACTTACTTTCTTGTCTGGTGTCCTGATGGCCAGATAGCAAATTCTGATATGGAAGACTTGACCCTATAAACACTGCCCATCCCTAATCTGTATGAATGCTCATTCTTTCTAAAAAACGGACTTTTTCTACTTTTATTATTATAAAATACAACTTATAGTAAAGCAATAGAGATGAATACAAAAAAGTTTCTCCTCCATCCTTATTGGCCTGAGGTGGTTACGACTAATGGTTGTGGATGTTTTCACAGTCATATCAGCAAGTGTGCTGTGTGTAGGGTGGTTGTGCTCCAGTCTTCCTTCATGATCATTTGTATTGAATTGCTCCTCTGGGGCAATACTCCTTGCCCTTTTAAAACAAATGGTAACAGACACCATTTCTGTACATTGCATATTTTCATTTAGCATCTTGGGTATTAACCAGTGTGAGCTTTTATTTTACAAGTAACAGTACTGAGTTGGTGGAAGTATGATGCGTTCCTGAAGTAGTTAAACGGGAGGCAAAACTAAGTAAATTCACCAGCTTGTTAATGCGTGGCTGTGGTTAGGCATAGCTCCAATATAGGTTGACCGGGTTGCTTAGGACTTGAAGGTTTTCTGGGAAGCAGAGCTTTCAAACCAGAACAGTTGGTCACAATGTGAGTTCTGTGCCTATATGTTAATAGGTATAGAAAGAGCCTTTCCCACCATCATTAACCAGACAAAATCCAGGCTGTACTTTGCCTCTCAGCTGGATCTTGGTGGGGGAAGTGGCAACTGGATGAATTTACTCAGACCTGAGCTCTAAGACTATCTGCTGCCTGGACTGCAGTCTTGGGTCCACAGGAACCAGTCTTTGCATTAAAAGTCTATGACTGAGGCTGGGCAGGGTGGCTCATGACTGTAATCTCAGCACTATGGGAGGCCGAGGTGGGTGGATCATCTAAGTTCGGGAGTTTGAGAGCAAGCCTGGCCAACATGGTGAAACCCCGTCTCTATTAAAAATACAAAAAATAAATAAGCCGGGCCTGGCGGCAGGCACCTATAATCCCAACTACTCGGGAGGCTGAGGCAGGAGAATCATTTGAACCCAGGAGGTGGAGGTTGCAGTGAGCAGAGATTGTGCCGTTGCCCTCCAGCCTGGGCAACTAGAGCAAAACTCCATCTCAAAAAAAAAAAGTCTGTGACTGAGACCCCCAACTCCCAAGGTTCTAGGCCTTGTACTATGTGCTCTTGTTTATCCGTGAGGATTCCAAGGCTTCTTAAGTTTCAAGGCAAAGGACAAAAAGGCAAAGATCTAAGAGGGAGAACAGGATTAAATTGATAAAAATAGGAAAAAAGGGGTGAAGCAAGGCAGGTGTGTGTTGAGGGGTGAGAGTCTAGCAAGAGTCTCAGCCACAGAGTATGTAGTAAGGGGCAGCTGCCGTCTGGGAGAGCACAGCAAGTGAGGGCAAGAAAAGATGTTGCCATGGTATTTGAGTAACTTCCACGGGGTAAGTAAGCTACCACCAGGCACCAGCTGAGCTGAGTGGTATTCAGCAGCTACTTACTGTGCACCTGTTACGTGCCAGGTGTTATTAGGCACAAAATGAAAAGAGTAGTGTACAAGACAAATTGCCCTTGTGAAGGGAACATCCAAGAGAGATAAATAGAAAACTCTGATAGGAATAGTGTACACTGAAGAAAAAGCAGGATAGGAGGCAAGAGGGTAACAGGAGGTACCTTTTTAGTCAAAAGGTGCTCATACTGCCCAACTCAAGTTTGTGAACTTTGACAATTTTTCTGGCTGATAGCAATAGTATGTCTTGATGTGGTGGCTGTTAAATGTTTAAAATAACTTTTAATATAAATTTAATGTACTATTTAGGCTGGTGGTCTCTGAGGAGGTAACGGAGCTGAGACCTAAAGGATGAGAAGGAGTTATTCTTTCTCACCAATCTGCATTAGATGCTGCTTATCACAAGGTGACAAATCACTTGTTTTGAAAGAGAATGCTGAAGTATAGCTTGTAGAAAAGCACTCCATATGACCTGTTAACCTTAGAGATTTCTGCCATCCAGGGCAGTCATGGGGAAGCTCCTGGTTGGGAAACTGCTATAGCCCATGCTGAGCTGTTCTGACCAGAGTCTGCTGCCTACACCTGAGCAGCAGAACATGACTAGAGGAATGGACACAGCTGTACTGGTGGGACTCACACAAATGTCAGACGGGCCATAGTTACTGCCACACAGTCCTCTACACTTGCTGAGATTCTTGGGCTTTGAAAGGACTGATTAACACAGTCAGTCTCTTCTGAAATTGCCATCTCCTCCCCGTACTCTAGAACACTGATAACCTTGCCTACATTAAAACTTCAGGGCACAATTGATAGTGTCTCTCTCTTCTTCCTGCCATCACATCCAGCAAGCTTTTATTTATTTATTTATTTATGAGATGGAGTTCTGCACTTGTTGCCCAGGCTGGGGTATACGGCCATGATCTCGGCTCACTGCAACCTCTGTCTCCTGGGTTTGAGTGATTCTCCTGCCTTAGCCTCCTGAGTAGCAGGGACTACAGGCATGCACCACCACGCCTGGCTAATTTTTTGTACTTTTAGTAAAGACATGTTTTCACCATGTTGGCCAGGCTGGTCTTGAACTCCTGACCTCAGGTCATCCGCCCACGTCAGCCTCCCAAAGTTCTGGGATTACAGGCATGAGTCACCCAGTCCAGCCAACATCCAGCAATCTTTCTGCAGCTGTACCTCTAACCTTGGCCTCTTTAACTGGATGATGATTATCAGCATACAACATGGCTCTGTGTCTTCAATCCTAAAAAGACTCTGACTTCACAGTCCCTTTAAGTGCCTGCCCTTTTTCTATACTGCTCTTAGCAAAATTCCTTGAAAGAGCTGTGTCCTCTGTGTACCTTCTCATGTCACACTTTTCTCAACGTACCACCCCACCAAAATTACAGCTCTATCAAGGTGATTTTCCCATTGCCAAGTATAGTAGATATTTTTTCTGACTTTAATTTTGTTTTTAGCATTTGAAATGATTGACTAAAACAATTTCCCAGATATAGTTTCTTTCCTTACCTACCATTACACTACATTTGCTTATTTTCCTACCTTTGTTTTTTTTTTTTTTGAGACAGGTTCTCCCAGGCTGGAGTGCAGAGGCATGATTATATCTCAAAGTGGCCTTGACCTCCCAGACTCAAGCGATCTTCCCACTTCAGCCTCCAGAGTACTTGGGACTATAGGTGTGTGCTACCGTGACCAACTAATTTTTAATTTTTTTTTCTATTTTTTTTATAAACAAAACTGCCCAGGTTTATTCGCCAGTAGTCCCTCCTCCTCCTCCCTGCCTGCTACTGTGTGCCCTTCCACGCAGTCAGGGGAAGGCTTCTCTGGCCTCCTCAGCTGTAATCTCCTGGGAGTAGAGGTCAGTGAAGAGACCTGGCAGCCAGCAGTGGTCCTCCCCCGGGGCAAGTCCAGCCACGCCAGCCCTTCCTTCAGCAGGTGTTCCAGGACTTGCCGCGCTTACTTGGTCTCCCATTTAAGACTGGCTTTGATCTTACTGACAGTCATGTAGCCATTTTTCTCTGGCAGATGCAGCACCACGGTGTGATCCATATTGAGTTCAGCTGGAACAGACTGAATGAGGTAAGTGCCGCCCACAGGGATGATGCATACGCCAGTCCCAAATGCCTTTAGTTTCCTGATGGCCCTGATCAGGTCGTCTTGACTAACATCCTGGGTGAACTTGCCCCTTCCCTTCAACACCTGTTGATGTAGTTCCTCCAGAGTTATCAGACCTCCCTTCCGATGCTTCAGCGCCAGGCACACTTCAATAATTTGGACATCTAATTCATAAAAGTCCCCCATGTCCAGCATCTCAGACCAAAATCCTTTTCCAGAGGCCAAAGGATCCATGCCAACGGTTGCACATGTCCTGGAACTGCATACGGAACTCACAAGTCTTCCGGATCTCCTGCTTGTGCTTGCTGGCAAATTCCTCCAGGTTGGTCTTGAACATATCCAACTGCTTTGACAACGGGGCTAGCTGGTCCTCAGCCAGGACCATCCCTCACTCCTTATACTTGGCCTCTGCAAGTTGTTTTTTTGGCAGACGCCAGCTTCCACCCCACGGCAGTGCATCCCCGCCCTGGGCCCTCGGGCCACCCAGCTGCCAGGACCCCAGGTCTTGGTGTCCCGGGCTCTGCCTCTGGCCAATTTTTAATTTTTTTGTAGAGACTGGATCTCACTGTGTTGCCCAGGCTGGTTGTGAACTCTAGAGTTCAAGCAATCCGCCTGCCTCGGCCCCCCAAAGTGCTGGGATTACAGGTGTAAGCCATGGCGCCCAGCCCCTCCTAGCTTTCTTACTGCTGCTTTCCAGACTCCTTTGCTAGTTCTTCCCATCCTCTAAATATGGAAATGACCCAAGGCTTAGTGCTCACACCACTTTTTCTCTCCTCTTACAGGTGAGCTCATCTAGCCCTGTCTATATGCCAAAGAGTCCCAATTTGTATCCTTAGCCCAACTTCTCCCCTACACTCCAGTTATATATTCAACTGCCTACTTGACATGACTCAGATGTCTAACACTCATCTCAAACAATTCCTGATCTCCCAAACACCTTCCACCCCAAATCCTGGTGTTTTCTATTTTAGAAAATAGTACCGCCATTCATGCAGTTATCCTTGACACCTGTTTCTCTCATCCTCCACATGTGATCCATCAGCTACACTTCCAAATACAGGTATTGATCGACTTACGACCTATGCAACTTACGACCATTCGACTTTACGACCACAATCGCTAGCCACGACTGCTCCGCATCTGGCAGCGCAAACGTTGCCCAGCAGGGCGTATGACAGTGCGGACTAGCTTCCGGCGGCACTACCATCTCTGCGTGCACCATTTCAGCTGTACATATAGCCTACTCAACTTACGACCAAACTGTGTTACAACTGGTCTGCTGGTCCCAATCGTGGTCATTAAGTCGAGAACTAGCACATCTTTCTCCTTTATCTCTACTGGCCCTGTCCTAGTCCAAGCCTTCTAAAAGGTCTTGCTGTTTCTCTTCTTCCATCCACTACAATCCATTCAATCACAAGAGCGCTCTTTCTATACTGCAGAGGGGATCCTGCCTGCCACATGCTGCTTAACCTCCATCACCCGAGGTTACCACTTAATGAAAATGGAATGAAGTGTCTGGGCACAGTGGCTCACACCTGTAATCCCAGCACTTTGGGAGGCTGAGGCAGATGGATCCCTTGAGGTCAGGAGTTTGAGACCAGCCTGGCCAACATGGTGAAACCCCATCTCTACTAAAAATACAAAATATTAGCCGGGCGTGGTGGCAGGCGCTTGTAATCCCAGCTTCTCGGGTAGCTGAGGCAGGAGAATCGCTTGACCCCAGAGCCGGAGGTTGCGGTGAGCTGAGATCGCACCACTGCACTCTAGCCTGGGTGACAGAGCGAGACTTCATCTCAAAAAAAAGAAAACGGGATGAAATTTCACTTTCTTCATTCACAGGGCTCTTCATGATTTGGTCCTTACCTGCTCTTCTGCCCTCATCTGTTCTCACTCTCCCCCAATTCATTAATCTCCAACCATGTTAGCCATGCTGTTCCTGGAACATACCAAGCTCATTCTTAGAGACACTTCTTTTATCTCTTTCTGTGGCTGGGGCCTTATTACGCAGGTTTCTGGTTAAATGTATTGCCCTCCTCTCCCTTTCTAACCCTGCTTTGTTTTCTTCGCAGTATTTATCCACCTAACATTTTCTTATTTGTGTTTATCACATCAAACCCACTAGATGGTAAGCTCCCTGAAGGCAAAAGTCCTTCTCTTGTTTACCACTGTCTACAACATGATAGGGTGAGGGTGCTAAACAAATATTCATTGAATGACTGACTGGCATAGTCTATACCAGCAGATTTCTGGGCCTAGACTCAGAGATGCTCCCTGCCACTCAGTGGTCCCTTGGCAGACAGGCCTTCCTGACTGGGCAGTCAGCAATCAGGCACTCGACCTGTAGGACATACCCAGGTTATACTTGATTATCTCATTGATGATCCCAGTCTAGCTCCTGGGATGTTCAGCAACTCAGGGCCTGCGTGGAGCTCCATGGGTGGCTGACTGGCTGGGCTTTGCAGAGTTTTTAAATTGCTCTTTCTCTCTAGTAGTCCTTGCTCCAGTGTGCTGGTCCTGATGACATATTGGTGCTGTGGTCCTCTGGGCGGAAGAGTAGAGAGACATAGTCGGTGATGATAGGTCATGCCTGCCATTGTTTTCTCGTCTGGGAAGAAGTCCTTGCTGCATTGTACTGCACCGCCCTGCTCCTGAGACTTCCTGGCCCTGCTACCAGGTCCTGCATTTCACAGGCCTCTGTCAAACTCTCCATTTCACAGAGGGACACTGTGGCCCAGATGGCTGGAGGCTACTTCCATGGTCACGCTGTGGACATGGGATTAACCGGCACTAGCATTCAGCTTCTGGTGGCCAGACTGGGTTTCTGGACAGGACTCTTCATCCTGGAGGGGAGAGAGGGCAGCCTTTGGAGGGGCCAGAGGGCAAGCCTGTAAGAGGGCAGGCTCAGTGAAGATGCACCCTTGGGACAGCCAACTGGCTCTCTGGCACCATCTGCTGGCTAAAGCCAGTCAGTACTGGTAGTTCTTGGGGCTTGACCTGGACGACAGACTAGAGCAATCCTGTCCCCATCCCTGCCTTAGCCTGGGCCCAGCATGACAACTCTGAGCACATGGTGGGCACCATGTAACCCCATAGTCATTCCACATTGAAGAGAGGTGGGTGTAGCCCATGCTCCTCCATGAAGTCAGACTTATCTGTGAGAGTCAGCCAGACCTAGGTTCAAATCCCACCTCCCCACTTTCTTGCTGTATGGCTCTATTACTTAACCCATGTCATTCTTGGAATATCTCCTGTAAAATGCAGATTATAATAGTAACTACCTCCCAGGGTTGTTGTGAGATTAAAAGGTTACAAAGAAAGAGCTTAGCTCGGTAATCTGGCAGGCCCATACTCCAGGTACGTTCGTGGTTGTGCTTACAGGCATGATGATTTGGGAAGTATCACTGTTCAGTCCCTGCTTCATGGGTAGGCCCACTTTGGCTTGCCAAGACCCTCGAACCTAGCCTAGGCCCAACGGAGTCTAGGGTTCCTGACATCTGATGGTGGGGTTACAGATGTGAGTCAAGAAATGTTTTCCTCCATCACTTAGGTGTAGATGTCACTTCTGCCTAGAGAGTCCACAGCAGCTTCCCAAGGGCAGGTCCATGGTCCACCAGGAAGGTATTACACTGGCTGGTTCCGATAGAGGAAAGGAAGCTGTAGCTTTCTGTAGCCTTCTCAAAGGTCTTAGTTGAACTCTTGGGCCATGGGCAGATAAGTCCTCCCTGTGGCGTTGCAGAAATTCCTCACCTTCCTACCCAACATCTCCTGTATTCCTCCAGCCTTGGCTGTGAAGGGTTGGGCAGCCATGTGAAGGAAACGCTCCAGGGACTCAAACTTCCTTCAGGAATTGACACTGGCATCATGTTAAGAATGTTACATGCATTCATATGTTGTCACCTTCTCCCCCCAACAACTTTATTTTTTTTGAAATGGAGTCTCGCTCTGTCACCCAAGCTGGAGTGCAATGGCACGATCTCAGCTCACTGCAACTTCTGCCTCCTGGGTTCAAGCCATTCTTCCTCCTCAGCCTCCCGAGTAGCTGGGATTACAGGCACCCGCCATCGTGCCCAGCTAATTTTTTTTGTATTTTTGTAGAGATGGGGTTTCACCATGTAGTCCAGGCTGATCTCAAACTCCTGACCTCAGGTGATCTGCCCACCAAAGTGCTGAGATCCTAGCCTCCCCAAATGCTGGGATTACAGGTGTGAACCACCACACCTGGCTTTTGTCCCCCTTTTCTACTGAGCTATGATTTACATGCAGTAAAATATATAAATATAATCATAGCTCAGTGAATTTTTGTATGTGCATACACTCATGAAACCACCATCTGGATCAAGATAGAAAATGTTGACCAGGCATGGTGGCTCACACCTGTAATTCCAGCACTTTGGGAGGCCGAGGTGGGTAGATTACCTGAGGTCAGGAGTTTGAGACCAGCCTGGTCAACATAGTGAAACCCCATCTCTACTAAAAATACAAAAATTAGCTGGGCGTGGTGGCAGGCACCTGCCATCCCAGCTATTTGGGAGGCCGAGGCAGGAGAATCGCTTGAACCCAGGAGATGGAGAGGGTAGAGTGATCCCAGATTGTGCCACTGCACTCCAGTCTGGTCAACAAGAGTGAAACTCCGGCTCAAAAAAAAAAAGCCATTGTGGTGGTGTGCACCTGTAGTCTCAACAACTCGGGTGGCTGCAGTGGGAAGATTGCTTGAGTCTGGGAGGTCAAATGCAGTGATTGCACCACTGCAAAAAAACAGAAGAAAAAAGAAATATGTAACATTCCAAAACTTCCCTCATCCATATTTGTCACCTGCCAAAGGTAATCATTCTTTCTTCTCTCACCGTGGATT